TGGCAGAAATTGATTATATGGACTAGTTTCAGTCATCTTGAAGGTCCTCCATAGAGATCAAGGTTCTTAGTGCACTACATGTATTAATTACCCAGCCTTCTATACTGTATTATCTTATCAGTAAAAAACAGTTGCCTGTCTTGACAGACTCAGACTTCTTCCTAGAAACTTATCCTAGCCAAGGCCACCTGGTCTACAGCTATTGCTCTGGTCAGAATTTGCTAACTAATTAACAGCTTGATAGTCCTCTTCCTGTATTAAGGAACCACTTTGGCCATCTCATGAGAAGAGAAGACTCCCTGGAAAAGACCCTGATGTTGAGAAAGTGTGAGGGCAAGAGAAGGGGACGACAGAGGATGAGACTAAACAGCAACAAAATTACTGAGAGAAAGAAGAAATAACGGACACATTATCACCCACAGACTATTGATGGAGTATGTTGTTCTTGTTTAGTCGTTAAGTCGTCTCTGACTCTTTGTGACCTCATGGACCAGAGCACGCCAGGCCCTCCTGTCTTCCACTGCCTCCCGGAGTTGGGTCAAATTCATGTTGATAGCTTCGGTGACACTGTCCAACCATCTCGTTCTCTGTCATCCCCTTCTTCTCTTGCCCTCATACTTTTCCAACTTCAGGGTCTTTTCCAGGAAGTCTTCTCTTCTCATGAGATGGCCAAAGTATTGGAGCCTCAGTTTCAGGATCTGTCCTTCCAGTGAGCATTCAGGGTTGATTTCCTTCAAAATGGTTAGGTTTGTTCTCCTTGCAGTCCAGGGGACTCTCAAGACAAGAGTCTCCTCCAGCACCATGATGAAGTAACACAATACAATTCCCTATATGTTTCTATTTGTATTTCTGGTGTTTCCTACTAACATATGTAAAAGGCTAAATACAGTAATACCACGATAACAAGAGCATATACCCATGTATATTTTGTCTTTCACAGTTATGGATTCCCTTAACTCAACATGTAGGCATAGAGCAAGTTTTAAACCTACCCACCTACACTGTGATTTCTCAATTCATGACTCACTCAGATACTGGTTTCTGAACAGCTATTACAACAGTTCAAATAGCCATTTAGAAGCCAGGAAACAGCATGCCCTAACAGATTATAAAAGTGGGTAAGATATTTTCATTTTCCAAAACCACTGAAGATGGCAGCCAAGGTTTTCCAACTGCAGGGCCTTTTATTCTTTTAAACCCTGTTTTTCCATTTTCCACTTCAGTTTCCCTAATGAAATGGGCTCCTAATGTCAAGAAAGGTATTTATTACTGCATCAGTTAAGATTCCAAACAATTGTTTTATATTAGAAGGAGACAATATTATCTTCCAACAGAGCTCCCTGATGAAACAATACAGAGGATAAACAATGAGAATTAATGTTCAAGCTGAGCCTGCAAGACACCTGATGTTCACTAATGTGAATTACTGGATACTGATCAATTGCTGCAATATCAAAAGCACTCAGGTGCAAATACTCAAGCGGTATTTCCAATGAAAGCCAGTATAAAAGAATACTTCATACACACCCTGTCAATTTGTGTAATATCAAAGAACATTAAGAGAATGTTACTCCCAGTCCCAACAACACTAGTCTCAATAAATCTTTCCCTTGTATTAAAATTTCCAAGACTGCCTACTGAAATGTACATGCCTTTCCCCCCTTATGCCCTATCCATATGTACATATCGGTCTTTAAAATCCCACAAAATATCTCAGAAATATTGAGTGGCTACATTCAAGAGGACCAAGTTGTGTTAATATTGCCAGCCGCAGGATCAAAAACAGAATGGCCATATGTCTCAGCCTCCCTGCATCCCACAAAACAAAAGCTCAAAACAAAACAAGAAATATTTACCTTTTACTCTCTATAACAGCTTGGTGTAAATGTTTGAAAATATCTTGGAAAAGATTGCAGCTGGAACGACTGTTGATATCATATCCAAAAGCTCTTTTCCAATACTGCTTTAAATCATTCAGATATTCAAGTACCTATAAAGAGATGTTAAATTTTCTGATATATTAAGAGGATTATTTTAGATTCAGCACCCAGAATCCTACTGCTTATACATGAATTATTGAGGCAAAATGCTGCTGGTTAATGAGTTCACACTTCATTGTACAGCCTATTATTAAGTCTTGCAATGAATGGTAAAGGGACTAAGGGGAGTTAAGCATGCTTTCCTATTTTTTGGCCCCTAATTTGTCACAAGAGGTTTGTATGGACCTCAGATCAAGTTGCTGGATAGCACATTCACCAAAGGCCATCTATCTCTTCTAAACCTTTTGGGTCTGTAGGTCCTCCAGTGTCTTAAAACAGTCACAGTGTCCATGATAGTGGGGGATACTGGAAGCTATGGTTCTGCACATCTGGACAGCACTAAGTTGGGAAGAGGCTATTTGTGTGAGTTTCTTAAAGGCACGTGATTGTGTACTAGTGACAGCAAGTTTGAGAGACATTTGTTTGATCCAGTGAGGCAAGTACCCACATTTTGAGTCATGATGGTTGAAGAGATTCTCAGTAGCATACGTACATAATGAACACACAGTATTTAACAGAATTTATGACAAGTCAGGCAATGCTTTCTTTAAAAAAAGTGATAGCAGGTATAATAAGTAGCTTCAGTGTGTTAATTTAGCAGTTTTCTAGATTTCGCTAGAAGACATAAAAGGCTATAGATTTAATTTCCTAACAAAGTCTAAGACAGGGGTGTCCAACCTTTCACCTTCCCTAGGCCACATTAGAAGATGAAAATTTGGTTTGGGCCGCACATACATTTGGTTTGGGCCGCATGGGGGGCAGCTCTAGCCCTCCTCGGCAGCCCCACTCCAAGCGCGTTTACTGGCAGCAGCGATCTCAGACAGCAGAGGCTGCCAACTTCGACTCCAGCGGCTTTATGGGGCCGGGAGGGGGTCCATCTATTGATAGGGACAGCACAATGCAGTCACGCAGCCCCCCTGTCCCCTCCCCTCCTACTCCTTCCTTCCTTCCCTCTCTCCCCCTCTACTGTTGTGACATGCCCCAGACACATTCCGGCTGCAAGCGCCGGCAGTGTAACTTGAAACTTTGGAATTTCTTTAAAAATAAGAAATTGCACTGGGCCGCATTACGAGCTGACCTGGGCCGCATGCGGCCCTCGGGCTGCAGGTTGGACAAGCCTGGTCTAAAATAAAGGATTACAGGCACTTCCTCTAAATTCCATTTTGTTACAGTATTTGTATCAGCACACAAATACTATGTAAAATCACACATCATAATCATAAGCTAGCACACAATTTAAAGCCATTTATATTTCACTAATATTAATGGAATTGAATGTGTTTAGCTGTTTGCTAGATTGTATCATTCTGTAAAATAAAGTAGCAATCTTTTCAACACTACACTGCAACACTCAATTTTGCAAATCAAAACACTTATTTATAGTTTAGTTTCACAAACACAGCTCTTACCTTGGCATCTTCTGTACTAAAGAGTGAGCACCAGGGGGAATTGACGTTTCTTATAGTTAGCCCAAATGAGCAAGTGAAAAATGCTGTCTGAATCAAATCTGTATTAAAGACAAGCAGCAGCTGACAAACAGTATGTTGACAGTAAATGATATCCAATGCCACATTCTAGCAATTAAATATTTGTACCGAAATGCCACTATGCAAGAACTACCTCAACTGAATGTAGAACTTACTTTTGTGTATGTGTAGAACAAATGAAACACAAAATCCAGGAGTTAAACCTTCCATACAGCAGGAATGTGTGAGAGAACACAGAAGGCCAGAAAGCAAGTCATCTGTGCTTCTCCCATCTGAGTTTCTACTCCACAAGTGTAGCCTGCACACAGCCTATTGATTCATCTACAGTAATGATTCCCAGCCTTGGGTGATAAGGTGTCCTTGGACCGCAGCTCCCAAAAACCATGGCCAGCGCAGCTAGTGGTGAAGGCTTTTGAGAGCTGCAGTCCAGGAACACTCGGGTTACTCAAGATTGGGAACCACTGATCTACAATGTCCTGCATCAAAAGATTACAGCCAGGAACCAACATATATGAAATGTAAATTGGACAAAAAGGCTAGTGAATGTAAGTTTTCCTAACAAAAAAAGATTCATATTACCTGAACTATGATTTTCAAACATTATACACATACTATATAGATAAGACAGCAAACTCTTGGAATAGATTTGACTAGTACAGTATGTGCAAGAATATGACAGCGCCTAAAGTTTTTTACCTACACTTAGAGCTTTGCTCAATAGATTCTCAACTTGCAATTGAAAACTAAACAAAGGAATGCAAGCCTTATTTTTAAGACCACAAACTGAAGCTGATAGCCTTTCTACATTTGCAAGTAATTTTATAAATGCCGTAAAAAACATAAGCACAACATATACACTTGTATATTATTATTCTTTACCAATGTTTGTTTCAATCATTTTTATGAATAACTAAAACAACGGTTGCATGTGTCTTTTAATGAAAAATATTTTAGGTCAATACACATTCCCTCTATGCTTTAAGATACCTCCAATTATCAGGTAAGAACAACCTTATCTGTATTGAAGTCATATATCAAAGGCATAAGTGCCTTTGCATGACAAAGTAAACCAAGGGAACTGGGCTTTCTGGGGTTGGGAGGCCTGCTGATGCATGCTGCCTGACTGCCTGCAATGAGAGTTGTTCAATAAACCACTGAGGTTTGTTCTGTGGTTTATTTGTCATGTGTGAGTCTTGATGCAACTGCTGCTCCACAGTTGTCTGCAGATGTTTATCTTTTTGCCAGAAAATATTATCATCTCAATACTATCTGATAAAAGTTAGCTTAAGGCTCAGAGACTGTTTCATAAATGACTGAGAAGCCAAAGCTTGCTTCCAGAGGATAAACTGGTGGTTTCCTTTTCCTTTTCAACAATAGCACCTCTCTTTGCATGCTTTGCCACAATCTGCCTTATTTTAAAGAACGCCTTGAGATTTCAGAGCAAATTCCTCTGCCGCCCTGATACTGGGTCTTTTGGAGAAGACAGAGCCAGCCAGAGAGCTTGTGCATGGTGATCTAGTTGTGCAATCTGTACTGTAATTGTGGAAATAGTAACAATTATTGTAAGGATTATATTTCTGTGGTTGATTTCTATTTAACTACAAAAACTGGTCTTTCTTCCTATAGAGGGTTCCCAACCCTGGGTAACCCAAGTGTTCTTGGACTGCGACTCCCAAAACCTCTGGCCAACACAGCTAGCGGTGAAGACTTCTGGAAGTTGTAGACCAAGAATACCTGGGTTACCCCAGGCTGGGAACTGCTACTATAGAGGTTCTCAAAAAAGTACCGAATACAATTTCCGTGGCATTCACTGGTACAAACTTTATCAAAAGGAAAGATACACAATGGTCCATGACAATGCTCTTGTTAGTTACTAGCTACTTAGCTGGATGGTAGCGGATGTTTTGTTGGTAGTGGATGTTTTATAGTTAACAAAAAAGCACTGCAGCAACTAGATGTTTGTTTGCACCATTACCTGAAAATTTCAAGAAAGAGCTGGAAGATTATTTCCTTTCTGCATTCCACACTTCATCCTACAAAACTTTTCCAGTCATCTTCTACAGAGTATGGTTCAATGGAATAGCGATTCTCTGCTCTCTCCAGGCTACCAACAAACATGAATTAGGCCTCTGTTTTCACTCTGGGTAGCAAAAGTGTGTACATTGTGCAAGTCATAACATATGCAGTTGCTGTTACAAAATAGGAAGCTATTATATTTTATCCATTCACTCTTAATAGCTGCTAACCTTCCAAGACAATTCAATATTTAATAAGTACAGTGGTGCCTCGCTTAGCGATGTTAATCGGTGCAGCAAAAATCACTGCTAAGCTATTTCATCACTAAGCGATTTTAAAAAGCCAATAGAAACGCATTAATGCGTTCCTATGGGCTTAAAAACTAACCTTATGTGAAAATCCTCCATTGCGGTGGCCATTTTTGGTGCCTCTAAAGCGAGGCAAAACAGCGGGCGGCCATTTTGTTTACTTGGTGGCCATTTTGGAACCGCCGATCAGCTGGCCGAAAATGGGGGCTTTGCAATGATCGCTTCCCTGCAATCATTGCAAAGCGAAATTTCCCCATAGGGGCCATCGCAAAGCGATCGCTCTTGTGATGGCAAAAAGTCCATCACAAAGCGATTTCATTGCTATACGGACCGATTGCTATGCGAGGCACCACTGTACAGCATTTGCTCTTCAGACTAACTCAGGAACGTAACAAATAAAGGTATGTTTAGGGAATTCAAAGATCAACAATTACCTGCATTTAGGTCACTTACTGGTAGACACAGTGTATCTGCAATTTTCTCCACTATCATTTTCATCTCAGGACCTTCCTTGAAGGCATCAACTTCATGCATAGCTGTATTATTGTCTTCTATATCTCTTACAAATTTTTCACAGTGATCGAAAAATCTCATTAGTTTGTCATTGATTTCAAGTGTTTCTGTCATTGTAGCTGAAAACATAAGATATAACACTGGTTAATTGCTTACTATAAAAATTTTGATGCAGCTGGTTAGTTGTACATGTTACAAGTAAAAGAGGTAAGACTCATGTAATATCCCACGTTAGCTTTGTCTGTTATGTACCTATCGTGTTGAGTATTTTACATTTTAAAATACAATATGGTCTTTTTAAAAAGAAGCTAGATTTAAAATAAAACAAAATGTTGCAATTTATACAATCCTTTGGACTGAATCAGTTATCATCTACAAAACACAGGCCAATATCCTGTTCTGTGTTTAAGTGTCCAGATCTCCACTGGAAGTTGCTGTTGATCAGGTATCACTCATACATTGCAATGTGTTTTGATCCAAGATTCGGTCATGTGGTTAGGTGTATAATCGGCACTGCATCAAATCACTGGAACAGGTTGCAGAGCAAGAGCTCCACAAGTATAGATATTGAAGAGGATATTGGAGACTGAGTTACAAGGAAAACAACTATGATAAAAGCAGATAGATATTGCCTTTTTATGGTCAAACATTTTATATATTGCATGACTATGCTTTCAGCCTACATTTGTCAAAAAATAACAATATTTTTATCAAACAACTCCTAACACTACCTCTCAGAAAATACTGTACAGCCATATTACACCTCATTAACTCCTTGACAATGGATGGAAATTGTGATGGGGCAATGTCATGTTAAAATAAGTCTCTGTCATATGTTAAGTTAAGGAAGCATATGCACAGGGATGTTAGTGGGCATTTTTATTTTAAAAAGTTTTTAATATTGTTTAATATTGTAAGTTGCCTTCAATCATCTTGAGGAGAAAGGCAGGATATATATACTTCATATAAATAAATACATTTAAATAAGCTAAAAAGCAACCACATGTTTTATCTCCCCTACACTGTCCCTGCCCTAATGCTGAGGATGAGTATTGCTACCTTGTTTCCCCCCTCCCAAAATAAGACAGGATCTTATATTAATTTCTGCTAAAAAAACACACACATTAGGGCTTATTTTCAGGGGATGTTTTATTTTACAGTCATGTCATCTTCTTCTGGTTGCTGCATAATGATGGAGGGCGGGGTTTTAATTAACTGGGGCTTATTTTTAGGGTAGGGCTTATATTACAAGCATTCTGAAAAATCGTACTAGGGCTTATTTTCAGGTAAGGTCTTATTTTTGGGGAAACAGGGTAGCTGGCCATTATTTCTTGTAAAAGGCATGCCGACCTTACTGATCAATAGACAGACTGCTGGTTAGTCAAGTGCTGGTATTGACTAATGAAACCTTGATGCTAGTGATGCTTTAGAATTGGGCTACTGTCTACTTACAGCAATAATTATTAAAAGTAATGAATATCTATTTATTAAGGATGACTATTAACACTGTTTTAATTTAATTTGATTTTTTAATGATTGAATCCTGGTGTTCCATGATCAAAATCAAACTTTAATAAATTGTTCTCAGGTATGGAAACTAATCAATTGTTTATTTTTATTTAATTTTGCAATTACTTATCAAAACTGACAAAATAATCTGTTTTGTGGTTTTAGGGCACTGGAACATTTGAGACATGTCCTTTTGAGACACAAAATATCCAATTTCAGTCACTTTCAACTCTGTTCTATTCCCTGCCTCCAGCTTGCACAAAGAACAGTGGGTCTAGCTGGGCCTCATCTCTGGCTTTGTGGATGTCTTTTCAGAGGCCTGCAGAATGCTTTCAAAGAATAGCACAAATTCAGAGACTCACATGCTTCTCCCTCTGCCCTGGGTTCTGAAAAAGAGAAGCCCCTTTTTACTCCCTCTACATCTCAAAGTAGAATCCCAGTGCCTCTCTAGAGTACATCATAAACTCAGAGACGAAGGAGTGGTCAGAGAACTATCACCAAGGAAACTGTGGTGATGAAGCATGGGCACTCTGCATGAAGAAGACAATAGAACAGAACACATTTTTAAAAATGTGTTCAGCCTATTCTATGGATCAATGATAATCCATCATCTCTCTTTGAGAAATTTATTTCAAATCAATAGTTCAAAGCTGTCAAATACTGCTTTTGTTGGAGATAAATTAACTCACAGCTGACAAAACTAATCTATGGTATATAGAAAAAGTCTTTGTGACATGAATAAATCTTAGAATGGTAAAAGCAGTAGTTGTCCCAGGCCACAAACCTGTGAAAAATCAGTATTAGGTAGCATATATCTTCCAGCATCTTAGGCATATAAAAGGCACACTTATTGTAAGTTCTGGAAAGACAGGTCTTTTGTGTGGACTGTATGAAATGAGGTATAGTGTCAAATAAAATTTGAAAGAACAATATCCAGTTGTCTTCAGATCTGACATTCAGGTACATGCCAGTACGTTTGAAGTTACACAATACCTCACTCCCAAAACACCAGCAGTACCACAATTCACCTAAATCCACAATAATTAAGACGTCATACCCCCTTCCCAGTGGCAACCACCACACTAGCAATGTTGACACTTGAGCACCACATCTAAATCCAAGTACAGTATGGACCAGATCAAATACTGTGAAACTCAGTAACTAGTAAAAATACTTTAAATGTTACAGCATGTCTATCATGTGTTAATTAATATGAAGCTAACCCTAAAAGAAAAAAAATGTGTAAGCATCACCATTTTCAATTCATACCTAAGCACATACAAATATGCCATGTGTTGTCATTATCAAACATACACTCCTTCTCTTAGAATCTAACTTAATAAAAGCTAATAAAAATGTACAAATGCAATTATGCATATTTTGGCTCCGTTTCTGTTAGAGAAAATGATGTTAAGCCAAAAATTAGTTGGCTTTTGAAGCAAGGCTTGAAGGAAAAGAACTGGTGTCAACGCTTCTACCATAACCATGAGCCCTTAAGATGTGTTGAGTGAGGAAAATGAGGCTGCTGGAGAACATGTATGTGTTGGCTCTGATGTTTACTGTTAAAGGTTCAAAAGGCTGAGATAGTTTTATCTTTTACATATGACTACAAGCATATTAAGTTAACTCTGCAATCAGTATAAAATCAGAAAAACACACTAAATTAGAGAACAGGGAAGCAGCTCAGAAGCCAAGCACCTGATAACAATCCTTTAAAAAAGTATTACCATTATCATTTTTGGGAGCTCTTGGGGGAGAGGCTGCATGATGCCCAGGCTACTCTAGCTGAAAATAATGAGCAATAGACAGATCTTCAACCCCGGTTCTTTCTCTCAACGTATTTCTTATGAACGTAAGCTCAATGGGGCTTCCTCTCAAGTTAAGTATAGGATCCGTGGCTTAAAAGATTTTAATGTACGCCTGAGGATTGGGTAGCCTCCTCGATATTGTCGGACTGCAACTACTGTTGGCCCATCCACCACTGCCAATGGTGGGGGATGCTGGGAGTTGCTGTCCAACACAACCTGATGGGAACCTCTTCCTTTAAAACAGGACTGGCCTGCTGTTGGATATCCTGCCCAGTACAATGAAAAACAAAGGCAATTAGGGAAGCGGCGAGCGTCTCACCATTCGGTTCGGCCGCGGCCTGCTGCCCATAGAGGGCCTGCCGGAGCCCTTCCCGGAAGGCGTTGGTGCTGTCCACGCACCGGTGTTTGGAGCTACTGACAAAGGCGAAGCGGCGTTTCGGACCCAGGAGGCTGGGGAAGCGGGCGGCGAGGCGCCCGGCCAGCATCTCCATGTCGCGGCGCCCGCGGGAGGCCAGTTTGCCGTCCATGTCGGGCCGGAACCACATATTCCAGCGCGACAAGCGCTCGACAGCCGGGCAGGTCGGGCTGCTGCTGTTCCTCTGGAGGACGCGGCTGTGGAGGCGGCCCAGCTTCTCGATCTGCTTGCGGGTGGGAAAGCGGGGGCCGTGGCGGAAGACGCCGATGAGCTTAAGAGGTGTACAGGAGGCCGGCGGCAGCGGAAAGCCCGGCTGCGGGGGCCCGAGGGACAGCGGGTCCTCCAGCAGGTGCGGGTGGAGCTCTTCATAGCGGGATTTAGTGCCGAAATAGGGGCTCAGCTGCTCTGCCGCCTCGGCATTCCCCTCAGCGGGTCCCTCCGCTAAGACGAGGAGGACCGATAAGAGGAGACCTCCCGCGCTGAGGTGCATGAGAGCGTATGAAGAGGGAACGCTTTGCTACACGGAGAGCCCGCGTTGTACGTCTGCCGCGGCTGGAGCCGAAAAAAATGGCAGTACTTCCGCCTCACTATTGCGTTTTCCCTAGATTGGATGACAAAGACCGCCCACCGCCTTCCTTTGCCCGCCTTTTTCCCCCTCGCCCTTGTCCAAAATGGACGCCCATCTTTCATCGTTTCATTTACTATCTCCCCTGGCGCCCTCAATCAAGATGGCGGGGACTCCGTTCTTCCTCATAGAATCATAAAGTTGGAAGGGGTCTATAAGGCCATCAAGTCCAGCCCCCCGTGCGTTGCAGGAAATACAAACCAAAGGATATCTGCCAGGTGGTTGTTTAAGTTTCTCTTGAATGCCTCCAGTGTTGGAGCATTCACCACCTCTCAAGGTAGCTGGTTCCACTCTCTTACTGCTATAACAGTTAGGAAGATTTTTCCTGATATTCAATCGAAACCTGGCTTCCTGTAACTTGAGCCCATTGTTGCCTGTTCTGCACTCAGGAATGATCTAGAACAGATCCTGCTGCTCATCTGTATGACAGCCTTTCAAATACTGTATTTGGAAAGCGTTATCGTATCACTCCTTTATACTGTATTCTTTTCTCAAGGCTTGGTTTCCAGCCCCCTGATCATCCTTGTTGCCCTCCTCTGAACTTGTTCCAGTTTGTTCCTTCCATTCTTCAGTTTTCACACAGACCCTTGAAAATGGCGGTAACTGAGAAACAGACTTTTTTGTATCAGGCTCGGCGCCTTTGTGGCTGCTGGAAAAAAATGGAGAATGCGCGACTAGCGCAACTAAAAATTCCAAAGCAAGAGCAACAACTAAACCTGCAATTCGTAATATTTTTGCCTGAAGAAGAGATCTAGCACCTCAAAAACTAGCACATGTTTCTGTGTTGTTTTTAACTGGCAGAATAAAGGCACTTGTGCATTTATACAAATCATATATATAAAAAAAACCTGCTGTGTTCAATATAGGGATCTAACGCACAGCTCCTACATTTACCCTTCATCTTTCTGACTGGGATTTAACCTCCCTCTCTTCATTCAATTCATTCAACTTTTCTGGAAACCCAGGTCATTAGAATCATGAATAATATACCTAAAACAAAACACACCCATAACCATCAATATTCCTTAAAGATGGGTCTCCTATTTTAATATGCCAACATTGCCATGGATGGCAATTGCCACCACGAGGATTAGAACTGCCAGCGGCTATTCTCTGATATTAAGATTTCACCCATCCCTCCGAAGGCTTTCCCAAGGCAAAGGGGGGCCCTAAAGAGCCTTGGAACATGAAGATGGGAACAGGAAGCTTTTAATTAATTAATATTACTGCCACGGGGTGATAACACCATCCTACTTGCATGGCACAAGGTTGTGCAAGAGGATTTCAACCACAGATTATGGCATTTAGGACTTTCTCCCCCTTTAAGGGCCAGGCACAGTTTTTAAAACACCTAGAGGCATCTTCTGAAAAGCCAATTAGCTGGGCACCCAGTTTGATAGTTAAGAAGGAGGTGGTGCTTAACAGCCATAGTGGAAGAGTTGATATCCAACTCTCTGAAAAGGGGATGTGTGAGAGAATGTGAAGAAGCTGAGAAGGAGATGGGTATTTTTTTTATTTAAGAGGCAAAATGAAAACAAGCATATATGGTAATATTTTGGAAGAGGGAGAAAGTGGCGGGAGGGGATGCCGTAGGTCTTTTCAGGCACCACCTCATTGTGGCTTCCAAGCTAGGCCTGGATCTTTTAAGGCAAAAATATTTAAAAGTCAAGCTGTGCTTCAATGTCTTCATTCAGTTAATGATATAATGGTCAAAGTTAAGGGCTAAGCAATACTTAATACTCATTTTTTCATGCAGCTCTTTTTTCTCTCTCATTTTCTCTGGCCTTTCTTTCCCACTACTGTAGTTTTCCTTCTTTCCACCACTTCTCTCTTGCTTACCGGACCCCATGGCTACTTTAATTCTTTAGTTTAAAAAATATACTTCTGTGATAAGGCTGACATCCCAGTTTACCATCTTGCTGAGAATTAAGTCTCATTTACATGAATTAAGCTAATTAATTTACTGAAGTACTGGCATGAAGAATGGGAAAGAGCTAGGGAATTCTTCACTGAGAATGTGCTGCCCACTTTATAAAAATTGTCCTGTATGAGATAAATATTTAAGGTCCTGTATCTTCTAAATTATAGGACAGATGGAGTTCAAGTAAACAAAAGCTTGTATCATGAGTCATTTCTTTATTAAGAACCAGTGGCTGGCATTTGAAAAATAACTACCAAACTTATAAGTGAACAAAGAAATGATAGTTAAGATAATTTTCATGAACTGGTGATATCTGTTTGAACCAAAATGTAGTCATCCTGTTTTAAATGTGTTTTAGTATAGAATAGAAATGTTTTCTTGTTGAATGTGTAATTAACTCAAAGCAGGATGATACATTCCGGTTACCAAATAATTAACAAGTACTTAATGGTACTAGAAGACTACATCAAGTATCATTAACTACTTGTTAATTCTTGGGTAACCAGTAACACCTGATTGAGTGGAAGACAATAAAGGCCTGGAATGCTAACTTCCTAAGATCTTAAGGAAGCCACACCTGGGTGTTCTTTGGAGATTCCTTGTATACATTTCTACAATCTTTTGTATGTAGGCATCCTTCAGTCTCGAGAGACTATGGTAATGTGCTCTGAATGGTCTTGGAATAGTGTCTAGCGTGGCTGAGAAGGCCCATTCAAAAGTGACAATTCTGTCCACACTGAAGACAAATACAATCTGTCCCCTGTCCAGCTCTCTGATTTTGCTGGTTTTAGGATTACCTCTTTGCCTCGGCCTGCTGAACAAGTGTCTCTTCAAACTGGGAGAGGCCATGTTGCACTGCCTGCCTCCAGACGGAGCACTCAGATGTCAAGGCTTCCCATTTGTAGAGGTCCATTCCTAAGGCCTTTTGATTCCACTTGCACATATCCTTGTATCGCAGCTGTGGTCTCCCTCTGGGGTGCTTTCCCTGCACTAATTCTCCATACAGGAGATCTTTTGGAATCCGACCATCAGCCATTCTCACGACATGCCCAACTCAACGTAGACATCACTGTTGCAGTAATGTATACATGCGAAACATTCCAGCTTATTCTCGGACTACTTTATTTGGAACTTTGTCTTGCCAGGTGATACCAAAAAAGGGTCGGAGACAACGCATATGGAACATGTTCAGCTTGCTCTCCTGCCGTGCGCAAAGGGTCTGGGTCTCACTGAAGTACAGGAGTGTATTCTGGCCTCAGGCTCTATAGACCTGGATCTTGGTATATGCCCCCAGCTTCTTATTAAGTCATACTCTCTTTGTGAGTCTAGAGAACATGGTAACTGCTTTGCCAATGCGTTTATCCAGCTCGACATCTAGAGAGAGTGTCAGAGATCGTTGAGCCAAGGTACATGAAATCATGAACAACCTCCGGTTCTTGTGTAGAGATGGTAATAGAGGAAGGTGAGTCCATGCCCTGCCTCATGACTTGTGTTTTCTTCAGGCTAATTGTTAATTTAAAATCTTGGCAGTCCTTACTAAAATGGTTCATAAGTTGTTGGAGCTCTTCAGCAGACTGGGCAACAACAGCTGTATAATCGGCAAAGAGGAAGTCCTGCATGCATTTCAGATGGACTTTGGTCTTCGCTCTCAATCTAGAGACATTAAAGAGCTTTCCATCTGATCTCATCTGGAGATAGACACGTTCTGTTGCAGTTCCAAAAGTGTGCTTCAGCATGACAGCAAAAAATATCTGAAACAGAGACAATGTGAAGACACAGCCCTGTTTCACTCCGCTTCAGATGTCGAATGGAGCTGATGTTAAGCCATAAAAAACTACAGTGCCCTTCATTTCCTCATGAAGGGACCTGATGATAAAGAGGTGGACATCCAATCTTGGGAAGTATTTTAAAAAGACAGTCCCTGATAACCAAATCAAAGGCCTTTGTAAGATCTATGAAGGCCACAAAGAGTGGCTGTTGTTGTTCCCTACATTTTTCCTGCAACTGTCTGAGGGGGCTTCTGTTTTCTCAGAAGGGAGGACTTTACCCCATTAATAAGAACTCAGAGTGGCTTACATAATTTAAAAGGCAATATTTAAAATCTAAAAGCAATAGGTATACAAATATGTATGTGAACTGTTCTCTTGAAGTAATTTTTCCATGTATAATATGACCCCACATATAACACTTTTCAAACCCAGAATTTCTTTCTTCACAAGACAGTGGAGGGGGAAGGCAGGGATCAAAGTGTTTTGATTCCTGCTTTCCCCCTCCAATTTCTTGTGAAGTGGAGGGGGAAAGCACTTTCTTGCGAGGAAAGTGGAGGGGGAAGCACTTTCTTGCAAGGAAAGTGGAGGGGGAAAGCATTTTTTGCAAGAAAAGTGGAGGGGGAAAGCACTTTCTTTGTAAGAAAGTGAAAGGGGAAAGCAAGAATCATCAAATCGATTCCTCAAAGTGATTTCTGTTTTCCCCTCCTCTTTCTAGCAAGGAAAGTGCTTTCCCCCTCCACATTCCTCACAAGAAAGCACTTTATTGCGAGGAAAGTAGAGGGGTAAAAGCAGGAATCATCAAAGTGCTTTGATTCCTGCTTTCCCCCTCCACTTTCCAGCGAGAAAAGTGCTTTTTCCCTCCACTTTCTCCCCTCCACTTTCTTTGGAAGAAAGTGGAGGGGGAAAGCAGGAATCAAAGCGCTTTGATGATTCCTGCTTTCCCCCTCTACTTTCTTGCTAGAAGGTGGAGGGGGAAAGCAGGGATCAAAGCACTTTGATCCCTCCCTCCGCCTTACGTCCGTGTATAAGACAACCCTAAATGTTTAATCTAAATATTTTAGAGAAAAGTATTGTCTTATAGACAGAAAAATACGGTACATTATCAGTATCCCAATAGGTCAGGTTTGTATCTTTGCAGATGGGAGTTCACTGTTGCCAACAATCAAATGGACATAATACTGAGTCCCGTAGCATGGTGGTTCAACTGCCATAGTGCAGTCAAGCTTCTGCTCATGACCCAAGTTGCATTGCAATGGTTTGAAGTAACCAGTTCAAGATTGACTCAGCCTTCCATCCTTCCAAGGTCAGTAAGTGACTAACCAGCTTGGTGGTGGTAGTGGTGAAGGAGCAGTGTTGTTTGCTTAATTATAAAAATGGGCATTTGCCTGGAGATCAGCTTTATTTATCTTTGATCTCCAATTCCAGAAAAAGCATTTTATGGTTAAATTGTAATTGAGGAGGCATAATCTATGTTTTTCTTCCCAAATGCCAGTGATTCTAAGTGTATATAGTAGGACTTCCATATCCACCAGGGATTGGTTTCAAATTCAAGACCCCTGTGGATACTGAAAACCAGGGATAACAGCAAATGGGCTATGTAAGGAGATAAAATAAATAAACAAAAGAAAAAAATATTTTCAAATGTGGCCACTAAAGACCACACAGATCTCTGGCTCCTTCTAGTGGCCAATTTTGGTAATACATATGAAATGTTTCATTATGAAATTTAAAAAACCATTTTTAGACTGTGGATAAGTGAATCAGTGGATACTGGCCCCTTGGATAAGGGGATCCTACTGTATTTGAGGTCACCAGTGAAAGCATTTCTGCAGTTGTATATACAGGGAAAGGATGTGTCTGTGTATCAGAACCGGATGTGGGTATGTGATTGTGAATAGTAATTTTGTCTTACTTTGTTATTCCTTCCTGAATTGGTTTATCTCTGGACTTATTTCATTGTGGTTCTGTGTGTCTGTATTCAACTTGTGTTTTTTCACTACCATACATTTAGGAGGTTAGTGAAAGAAAAGTTAAACAAACCCACCATGAAAGACTTATTATGTTAAGAAACCTCTGAGCCTTGTGAGAAATATAAATTTTATTGAAACTTAGGACAATGGCCACTTTGTTAACAAAGAACATAGAAATCGATTGTAAGTTAAAAGGTCCCAAAGTAGCTTACATCATTAAAAAGACAATATTTAAAGCTAAAAACAGTAAGTATAAAATATTTTAAAAGAGTTAAACAAGTATTACATTAAAAACTGTAAATAAAATAAATACTAAGAACGCATTTATAAGCAACAGAGCACAACAATGTTTTATTTGAAAATATGGTTTTCAGACCCAAAGGGGGGACATGTAGAGAATTTTCATAAATTGACATTTGCCTGAATCAAAATCAAAATGCTTTACTGTAGCATAATCAATGTAGAACAGAAATGATTGGGGTAAAATTTAATATTAAATGATACAGGATGGTCATATATTCTACTGGCAAAAGGATTAACATGTCGTTCATAACATTTAATGCAGCCATTTAGCTTAACAAAGGTGGTAAGTACCAGGCATGTTCGCAAGTCTTTGGGTCCAAGTCCCAAGCCTGAAGCCTGAGTCCCTATTAAAAACAAGCTTTTTTCCCCTAGAAAAAGGGAGGGGTGAATGGATTCTGAGTCCTACCGTGTTTTCCCAAAAATAAGACAGGGTCTTATACTAATTTTTGCTTTTTTAAAAAAACGCACTAGGGCTTATTTTCAGGGGATTTTTTTTCATGTACAACAATCTACATTTATGTATTCAAATACAGTCATGTCATCTTCTTCTGGTTGCCGCACATTGGTAGAGGGCGAGGTTTCACTTAACTGGGGCTTATTTTTGGCATAGGGCTTATATTACGAGCATCCTGAAAAATCATACTAAAGCTTACTCTTAGGTTAGGCCTTATTTGCAGTCATTTAAAAAAAACCTGAGTTGAGCACCTACGCATGGTAAGTAGCTGTCTTAGAGTCAGACAATAGTGTTAATTTCCTAAGATTACCCTGGCTGTTTTTTCCAGATGAAATGTTTTTCTTTGCAGGCATCGTGAATCTTGATTATCACTGTAAAATTCCTGTAAGCAACTATGTCAGGATTGTTTTGTTCTTGAAGATTCCCTGTTTAAATTCTGTATAAGTGCCACCCTGGTATATACATTTTCTGCTAGTTCTCCAAAATTCTCTACTCACAGAGGTACAGTGGTGCCTCGACTTACGAATGCCCCTGCCCACGAACATTTCGACTTACAAACAGCGCCAGTCGCAAAATTTTACGGCCAATTAGCCCGAAAAACCCACAACAACCGCAAAATTTTGCTTCAACTTGTGAATGGAGCTTCAACTTACGAACAGAAAAAAACACGCGGGGAAGGTGAGAAATTTGAACTTTCAGGTAACCGTTGGCCAGTGAAGAGGCTGCTTGTCTGCTACCTTGCTCGCCCCAGCGGTTAGAGAGTGTGGATATGGAGAGAGACTTCAGACTGCCTGGTACTGTACTGTACGACTACAACTGATCTTTATTTGCGATTCCTCAGAGGCACTAGAAATGATGGCAGGGGTGTGCTGACTCCTACTTAACATGAGTTTGAGTGTGATTGTTTACTGCTTAAAACAGCTACATCCCCAGTTATAAGAGGGTGTGCACACAGATGGAACCATATTATTTCAGTTTTTTATTTTTACTTCCCTTCACCTAAAAGATTTCAGTTGTTCAACTGAGTTGTACAATTCACAGTCTCATTAAAGGTGGAAAAAGTTATAAAATGATATATCTTTGTCTCATTTTTTAATATAATAGACACTTGATATTTTAACAGGGGTATCTAAACTTTTTATATCCACTGTAAGATTTTAAAAAATTTTTTTTTACACATTATTTGTCTAGCAAAACAGTAATTTTGATCCATGGTAACTTTGAGACCATTCACATTTAGGTAACTGACATTACTACAGGGTAAAAGCTGCAGTGACTAGCACAGATTCTAACTAGATACTAAAAAGCTAATTGTTCCTTTCCCAAAATACAGGAATGAATATTTTGAGATAGATGTTCCACAGGCTTGGCGTTGTGTCAACATTATTTTTAGGATTCAGTGGCCCAAATGCCATTGTTACACCCACTGGCATAACAGAGTCAACATAAATCTCAGTGGCAAATTACCACAAGTGAAAAAATCAGCATGCTGCAGCAATGATGTACACTTACTTTGTCACTTCTGGCCATTTGTTGTGAGGATTTGCATCAACTGTGTTAGGCCAGTGTAGAAACATAACAGGATTCCAGCCATTATGTATAAAATACAGCATGGTCAATAGCTTTCTACCCAGTAGCAAAACTAGCAAATTGTCTATGTTTACATTTTTACACCCACCATACTTTCCCTGACCTGTCCCTTTTACATTTAACCAGACCTAGAAGTGTTCTTTGACACTGCACACACTTCAGCAAAGTTGCAATTTTGAAGGAAATCTTTATAGTGGTTTTTCAGGCTAGTGTATAGGGAAGCAGTATCCTCTGAGAACGGAAACTGCAACACCCACTCATTGAGCAGTATCTGAACTTTGTACTTCTCCTCTGGATCACAATAATAAAGCAGAAACAAAAGATTTGCGGCATAAGGGACAATCCGACCACTACGATACTTCCGGTGCATCTGTCTATAGTAGTTCTTAGCTGTAAGATGTTCCTTATCTTTGAAGTAGCCCATTAGAGCAATGAGAGGTTGAAGGGTCTCTGCATGCCCAAACTGGAGGATCACAGGTGAAGAAATAGGCTTTGAACTAGTAAATAAAAAGATAGGCAAGAGAGAGTCAAATGAATCCAGCTCATGCTGTGTAGTTTTTATATAGCTATTGTTGCAAAGTTTTGAATTTCTGGTAAAATTCCTTGTCTTATGCAGTAGAAGAATGATAGCAAACCTTTTTGAGCCCGAGTGCCGAAACTGCAACACAAAACCAACCACGACTGTCTCAAAGAGTACCACTTCTCTGGCCGCACAACTTCCAGCGCCTGCCCGGGACACTCCTCACTCCACCTCTAGATGCAATCCCTAAAGGCGCAGGTGGCAGGAGATGGGTGTTTCCATTCTTGGTGTCCAGGTGTGTGGGGGTGGGTGGGGGTGGCGACGGCTATTGCCGTCTTGGCTCTCCCTCCCTTCCCAAGAATTCTTCCCAAAATCTGGGATCAGAGGACAGGTAAGTATTTCTCAATAGTGACTTATGGCTTGCTTGCCCACAGAGAGGGCTCTCCGTGCCAGCTGCAGCATGCGTGCCATAGGTTTGCCATCGCTGCAGTACAAGTACAGAGACCCACAGAGGACAATAATTACAAGTTCCCAAGAGTCCACCCCTTTCTCATTAACTGGCACTTAAAGTCTGAACAGGTCACTCAGAGACATTTGTAGGAGAAAGAATAAAAACATTTCATTACTTACAATTATTAGCAAACAACTGATAGCAACAAATAAAGAGAAGGAAAAAAACACTTAGCAGAGAGGCAGGAGTCTCTGAAATCAAAGGCAGGAAGGAACAACTGGTTAGTGCTGGATGCATAGACATTCATCCCAGCCCAGAAAAGTCCCTTCCTGTCAGACAAACGACAGGCAGCATGCAAAGTTGCAAAGAAAATTCCAACACCCTTTCTCGAACTGGAATGCAACCACACTCTTGAAGTAGTCATTTCCACATCCAACTGAAATGCTAGAACTTCACTAGCAAAAAATTCCATAGCCACATCCTGCCTTACCTTCTGGCACTTATTTCCTATTTTCCTCCCAATTCTGACCTTTACTTCCCCAACTCCACCTCTTGAGAGGACTCAAGATTGACGGCCCCTTCAATGAAGCCTTCCATGTTTCCTTGCTGCTTGTCAAACAGCCTCTTTGAACAGGAAAACAGCACTCTTTCCTACTTTCTATACATTTAACCCCTCAAACCACATCTTCTTTTTGATTTCTGACCAATTATGTGGGATGGTCCTGTCAGCAAGGGCCTATCTGTTTTGCCCATTGACTTCTGCACAGTACCATGCTGCTGGTGGATCATAAAGCAGCAGTTATCTAGTTTCTTTTTAAAAACTTTTATTAACAATCCTTGAAAGTAACAAAAACAATAATAGGTAGTATAATACTAGATCTACAACCCAAGTTACTCATACAATACACAATTAATAATACAATCCATTCTTATAGTTCATTAAGAAATTTGTTCAAGCTTAAAAGATGTAAATCAATAGTTTAGCTGACTTCTCAAAATGCCACCCTCTATTCAATTTCAAACCAAAACAGAATGCCAGATTATAATATTATTTTATTTTATTTATCCTCTAAGTAGTCTAACAATTAGTTCATTTTTACGTCACTGCTACTGCCCATATTATATCCAAATATCTGCATTTTTTCATATCTGGTTGTAAAGATACAATTTTTTAAAAACATTTTTTGGTTATATATTAGTTTTTATGTAAGTCTACCTGTTTCTCTTTTTCTTTAATTTTAATTTTTTCCATAATTTGTGGATTTATTAGTATGCTAGAAGTTAGCTTCCAAATCTTAGGCGTATTCATTGGAATATATAAGGCCACCGGATGTTTATTGGAGCATGGTCAGATGTTAGGACAGGAGCAAAATCTACTTTAACTAATAGTGGTGCAAATGATTTTGAAATATTATCCTTGAATAAGTTAAATATTTCTTTGAAAATAAGATGTAATTGCTATCTTTAGGGCTGAAATACCTCCCCCCATCCATAAACCATCCTTTTCCAACAATTTTCTAATTCTTACTCTCTCAGGAGACATTTTCCTAGTTTTTGATTATGTAGATTGATATCTCGACTTAAGAACGTCTCTACTTACGAACATTGTGAGTTACAAACGGCTACATTTGCAAAATATTGCTTTGACTTGCGAATGGAGCTTCAACTTACGAATAAAAAGAACCATGGGGGAGGCGGGGAAAGCGCGGAATTTGAACTTTCCGTTAAACGTTGGCCAGAGAAGAGGGTGCTTGTCTGCTACTTCGCTCGTCCCAGCGGTTAAGTGAGTGGATACGCAGACAGTCTTCAGACTGCCTGGTACATACTGTACTGCCTGGTACTGCCTGGCACTGTATAGTACACTGCTGTACTGTACTGTACGGACTGCATTTTATTAATTTTTGATTTTTGACCTTTTTTTAAAAAAACAGAGACTGCCTGTTCTGGATGAGTACACTGTATTTACTGTACTGTACAGGGTTTTTTGCAGCTTGGGGGGGTAGGGCTTGGTGGAGGGCTTATGTTTCTGTGCCCTGATGGGTCTTGCAGTGTGGATTTAAAGTGTGACAATGAAACACACCTAGTTGTCTGCTTTCTTCAGCTGAATTTGTAGTCAGTTTGTTCAATCTTTAATGAATTATTTGCAGCATTTATTTATCAGCTTTCTGCCCAATGTGGCACCCATATAATTGCTTGGAAATTCAGGGACATACCATGTTTTTCTGAAAATAAGACAGGGTCTTATATTATTTTTTTTGCTCCAAAAAAACACATTAGGGCTTATTTTCAGGGGATGTCTTATTTATTTTTTTCATGTACTGTACCACCATCTACATTTATTCAAATACAGTCATGTCATCTTCTTCTGGTTGCTGAACATTGGTGGAGGGTGGGGTTTCACTTAAATGGGGCTTATTTTTGTGGTAGGGCTTATATTACAAGCATCCTGAAAAATCATACTAGGGCTTATTTTCAGGTTAGGCCTTATTTTTGGGGAAACAGGGTAGTTATGGGGGAAACTATTTTCCCATATCTGTCTTGTCTTTCCATTGATGCTTCTATTATATCTGTGTGAAACACAAGGCACTGTACAAGTATACCTGTTCTCACAATTTGAAATGTTAAGACATAGAATATAGCATAACTATTGAATATAGGTGTGGCAGTTGAAATACGGGGTAATATTTATGCCAGTCTGATTCTGATAGGACAATAGAAGGTGAGGTATACAATTAACGTATAAACATTTTATGTTTGTAGTGCAAGGAAGAGGAGTCTCTTTTCTCTCTATGGCCACAACCTGCTGTGGGTATGGCACTGTCTGACAGCTGCTGTGACCACAGACAATGCTCACCAGAACTTCAGCTGGCAGTGGTGCAGCAAGGGCCAGTAGCCTGCCTAACTTTCCCTCTTTGTTTTCTGTAGTCTCACACACATACATAGGACCCATGAAGACAACAAATACGCAGCAAGTGATAAGAAGGTTGAACTATGATGAGAACAAAGAAATATAGAGATCACCAACCATTCTTCCAATCACTAGCCTATAATATGTGAAACATCAGGACAGATGGAGCTTAAATTGAGTGTTAGGGGCCTGGTCATCCACACAGGTTGCATGAAAGGTTTTTGAGGGTCAGACAGCCAGAAGGTTGTCCACATGTACAACAGTGTGACTAAAAATCAGACCTCCATTAAGGCCATGCAGAGGTAGACAGGGATAAAATTTTAGCTCAAAATAAAGGCAGGGACCCCACAGATTATGAGACCTCTGCCACCAGACCAACATAATCTGAACTAACATACTGTGTCACAACTGGAAACCATGTACAAGAGCCCAGAGCATAAAATATTGCTTTTTCAAAGAAATTTTATTCTCATTATAGTGTTCTAAAAAAATAATTCACTATTATTAGGTACAGTACTATGTTTGGAAGTAATCTATTGTATATTGCACTGCTCCTTGCTTACCATTATTTTTTCATCACTTTTCAAAAAAAATAATATGATTAATAAGAGAATGGTATAAAACTCAGAAATTCCTATCAAAATGTATCTAAAGTACCTGTAAAAAGCATATAAAATTATTACTTCTTACACCAATATATAGCTGAATTTCCAGGAATGGAAATTAGTTAGTTAACTCTAGTCAGTTGCTACTGGGAAAATCACTGAGCTCATGAATAAATAAACGGTTAACCTTTTTCTGTCTGTCTTCTAATGTTCCTATCTCTGTTTCTACTAGTTATAATGGTTTTCATATGACTTCATTACACCCCCATTACCCCTAAACGTAAATTGTTATAGACATGTTACTTGTAACTACTGTAGTTACTTCCAACTATAACAGACAGAAAGAGGCAATAACTGACACATTGTCACCAAAAAGCTTTCAAATCAGTAAACACATAACATATACACAAACAGCATATTATAAAGTATTTCCCAAATGTCTCCTAAAGGCTTAATTTTTTTAATTGAAGTATACCAATGCAATTTAGTTATCTAAATATTTCTATTCCTGTTGTTTTTTATTAATGTAAGTAAAAGGTTTAATACAGAGATGTCAAGAGGTAAGTACCTTAGGCCACTTCTTTAAACATGCATACATAAATACATTGTAAATGCTGCATGTGTGCCTTAAATTCAAGATGCAGGCATGGAACAGTTTAAACCTACCCACCCCTGCTCCTACTGATATTTCCCAAATCATGCCTTATTCAGATATCGGTTTCTGAACTGCTATTACAACAGTTCAAACAGCTATTTAGAAGCCAGGAAACAGTATGTCCTGACAGACTGCAAAAGTGGGTGAGATCTTTTCAGCTTCGAAGACCACTGAGATGGCAGCCAAGGTTTGCCAACTGTAGCCCTTCTTATTCCTTTGAACTGTTTTTTCATTTGCCACTTAATTTCCCCCAATGAAATGGGCTCCTAATGTCAATAAAGATACTTATGCTGCGTCAGTCATTAGACTCCATAAGTTAGTTTTATAAGACAATGTTATCTTCCAACAGAGCTCTCTGATAAACAATACAGAGGATAAACAATGAGAATTGTTCAAGCTGAGCATAAAAGACACTTGATGTTAATTAACATGAATACCTGGATACTGATCAATTGCTGCAATATCAAAAGCACTTGGATGCAAATTCAATACCCAAGCAGTATTTCCACTGAAAGTTGTATAAAAGATTACTTCATAAATATGCTGTCAATTTGTGTAATGCTAGATAACATTCAGAGAATGTTATTCCCAATTCAGAGAACACTGCTCTCAAGTATAATCAACGATAATGCGTTCAGTTAAAATCGCTGTTAAGCGAAATTGTCGTCAAGCGGAAAAAAGCCCACTGAAACGCATTGAAAACCGGTCAATGCGTTCCAGTGGGGGAAATACCTGCTCGTCCAGCGAAGATCCTCCATAGGGGATGCCATTTTGCATTGCTGTCTTCCGGAAATAGGTCCGGAAAACAGCAGGGAGCTATTAAGAAAACCCGACAATCAGCTGTTTTTAATCGTCGTGAAGCGAAAAATCGGTTCCTGAAGCAGGGAACTGATCATCGTAAAACGAAAAAAAAAACCCACTGGAATCATTGTTTTGCGATCGCTATAGCAATTGCAAAAAATTCGTCAAGTGATTTCATCGTCTAACGAGGTAATCGTCAAGCAGGGCACCACTGTATTTCTAAGATTTCCTACTGTAACATAAACTGCTTTCCTCCCTTAGGCCATATCCATATGTATGTTTTGGTCTTTAAATTCAACCCATCCACCCCCACATTTCTCACACATATTGAGTGGCAATGCGTACACTCAAGAGGACTGAGTTGTCATAATATTTCCAGGCACCAGATGAAAAACAGAGTGGCTATGCGTCTCAGCCTCCCCACCCCTGGAAAAAAAAAACATTTACCTTTTACTCTCCACAACAGCTTGGTCCAAATGTTTGAAAATATATTGGAAAAGATTACAGCTGGAACGACTGTCAATAGGATATCCGTAAGCTCTCTTCCAGTACTGCTTTAGATCATTCAGATATTCAAGTACCTAGAATCACACATTACAATTCCTGCTGTATTAAGAAGTTTATTTTTAGATTCAGTAGCCAGAATCCTGCTGCTTACATATGCCAGCACAAGTATAATGGGATAAATCACAGCAGCAAAATGCTGCTAGTTAAAGAGTGAGCACTTCTTTCTTCCTTACATGCCAGTCAGTGTGACAAGGAGCTGAAGCAGCAACTAGTGGCAATTTGCTGGTGTGGTTTATGCTGTTGCACTTTTGCCAGCAGATGTAACCAATATAGTTCTGGCCAGTAAATCTGAATTTAAGATAGGCAGTTCTAGCATCAAGTACTCTACCCCATCAATTGATTGTTTAATTTTCTTCTTTTTCTTTTCATCTATACAGAGATACTCAAGATGACATATGGGAAAGTTGAATAGAATAGATTATCTAATGATTGTAACAGCCTGTTTTCTATAGCAAAAAATACAAGGGCATCAAATCGTATTGGCATAAAAAAATCTCAAGACCGTTTGTGCTGGTACTTAAGTATCCAGCTGAGGTAGGCGCCTCCTGCGACATCACTGGAACCAGTTGTATTGGCTCTTGCCTTTCCACTGGACTATTTCAGTGATGTGGAGAGAGGGGATTTGCTGCTTGGGTAACAGCCTATCCTCCATATTATTTTACCCAGGCTTCTTGCTCTGGAGAGGACACTCCAGCTTCGCATACAGAGCATGTTACCATAGTCTCTCAAGACTGAAGGATGCCTATGATGAGGCTCCTTCAGGGTCTACCCTCACTTCAGCCAAGCCACCTGATGCTTTTTAATCCACAGCCTAGCATAAATTCCACAATGCATGGTACAGGGACTAAGAAAGACTAAGCTTGCTTGCCCACTCTTTAGCCCAATATTTGTCACCACATTTTGGGGGTCTCATATGAAGTATGCTAGATGGGCACATTTGCTAAAGCTGTAGGTTCTCCACTGTCCTAAAACAGCAAATGGCTGTGCTGGTGAAGGATGATGGAAGCCATAGTCAATATACCAGGACGGCATCAGGCTGGGGGAAGGCTGTTGTATGTGTTTCTTACAGGTATGAACTGACTACTGGTGATACCAGTGTGGACAGACACTTGTTTGTAAAACAATTTGCAGGTACTTCAGCTATCACGACTGTTCAAAATACAGTTGAAGAAATTCTCAGTCTTCTGTGACAAGTCTGTGAGAAGAAGCTAGGCCATGATTTTTTTCCTTGAAAAATGATAGCAGGTAGCTCCAGAATGTTAATTCAGGAGTTTTCCAGATGTGCTTTTGCTTGGAATATTAAAGGCTGTGAGTTTAATTTTTCAGTCTAACTGTAAGGATTGCAGGCCATTCTTTATATCAGAACACAAATACTATGTTTAAAATCATACTTCATAGCTATAAGCCAGCACACAAATTAAAGCCACATGGTTTACCAAAGAATGAATGGAATTTGAACATGTTTACCTAATTGTTAGTTTTTGTGTTCTGCATCCTACTGCGAAAATCAAGTAGTAAATCTTTTCACACTAGAGTGCAACATTCAATTCTACAATATGTTACACTTATTCATAGTTAAATTAGTTATAGAAATATACTCTAAACCAGTGGTTCTTAACCTTTGTTACTCAGGTGTTTTTGAACTGCAACTCCCAGAAACCCCAGCCAGTACAGCTGATGGTGAAGGCTTCTGGGAGTTGCAGTCCAAAAACATCTGAGTAACAAACGTTAAGAATCAGTGCCTAAACAGTACTTACCTTGGCATCTTCTATATTGAAGAGTGAACACCAGGGGGAGTTGATGTTTTTTATAGTTAACCCATATGCACAAGTGAAAAATGCTGTCTGAAGCAAATCTGTAGTAAAGACAAGTCGCAGCTGACAAGCAATACATTGACAGAAAATCAATTTGGTGTAGAACATACTTTTACAACATTACTGTGTAGGTCCAGAACAAATGAAAGAAAACAACCCAGAGTCAAACCTTTTATACAGCAGGAATGTGCAACAGAACACAGAACAACAGTAAGTCCAGGAAACTGCTTTCTACAAATAAGCAGATTATTATGTAAGCTGCCTGCATGCTTACAATGACAGAATAAAACAACTGAGTTCAAGTTGTGTGAACCAACAAAAGAGATGAATCTGCATTTGTTTACAGATTCTTTTCTCTTTTTCCAGAAAATATTTCCACAACATTATTTGATACAGCAAAAATTAGCTGAAGGCCTACTGATTGCACCATAAATGACTGACAGGCAAGGTGATGCACCCAGAGGAATTGGTGTTTCCTTTCCTTTTTCAACAGTAGTACCCCTCTTTAGATACTTCACCACAATCTGCTTTGCTTGAAAAAGTACCTTGAGATTTCAGAATAATTTTCTGGGCAGCCCTGATATCATGTGTTTTGGAGAAGATACAGCCAGAAAGTTTGTAGGGCATGGTCACCTAGCTGTGTACAGTGGGGTCTTGACTTAAGAACGGCTCGAGTTAAGAACATTTTGACTTAAGAACCGCTCTCATAGGAAAATATTGACTTAAGTACGTAGATTTGAGTTAAGAACTGAAAAAAAACCACGTGGGAGGCAGGGAAAGTGCAAAATTCGAACTTTCAGTTAACTGTTGGCCAGTGAAAAGGGTGCCTGTCTGCTACCTCACTCCTCCCAGCGTTTAGAGAGTGGATTGGGAGACAGTCTTCAGACTGCCTGGTACTGCCTGGACTGTATTTTCCCTGCCTTCCCTGCACCTTTCTTGACCTAAGAAAAAAAGAAACAAAATATCTCCCTCTAGTGGTCGAAGGCAGAATAGCAGCTTCCCATTAGTTTCTATGGACGGAAAAGAGCTGATACGGATCAAATGGTTTTCAATGCATTCCTATGGGAAATGCAGATTTGACTTGAGAACTTTTTGACTTGAGAACCACCTTCCAATACGGATTAAGTTCTCAAGTCAAGACCCCACTGTAATCTGCACTGAAGCTATGTAAACAGACACTAGCCTGACCATTCTTGTAAAGATTATAACTGTTGTTGATTTTTATTTAATTACAAAAATTGGTCTTTCTTCCTATACAGGTTCTCAAAAGGGTGTTGAAAACAGTTTCTATGGTATTCACTGGTGCAAACTTTATCAAAAGAAAAAAAATACACAATGGTCCATGGCAATGCTCTTGTTGGTTACCAGCTACTGAGCTTGATGGTAGCAGATGTTTTGTTGGTAGCGGATGTTCTATAGTAACAAAAAAAAGGCACTGTAGCAACTACGGTAGGTACCATATTTTTTCGCTCCATAAGACGCACCTCTCCACAAGACGCACTTCATTTTTAGTGGAGGAAAACAAGAAAAAATATTCTGGCAATTTCAGCCCGCTGGGCCTGCGAGGGTGGGGGGGGGTCCTGGAAGGGTCCTGGAAGGGTCAGAAGGGTCCAGCTTCCAGGGCCCTTCTGAGACTTTCCAAGCCTCAGAAGGGTCCTGGAAGGTTGCAATGTCGCCCCCGCTAGCCCCACAGGGGGGGTGAGGGGAGCCTCTGAAGGGTCCTGGAAGGCACTCTCGGACCCTTTGGAGGCTCCCCCTGCCCTCCTGCGGGGCAGAAATCACCAGCTTCCACGACCCTTCTGAGGATTTCCAAGCCTCAGAAGGGTCTTGGAAGGTTGCGATTTTGCCCCCGCTGGCCCTGCAGGGGAGGCTCTGAAGGGTCCTGGAAGGCACTCTCAGACCCTTTTGAGGCTCCCGCCACCATCGCCCCGCTGGGCCCTGGGGAACACTGTTTTACAGTATTCGCTCCATAAGACGCAGACACTCCCCCCCACTTTTGGGGGGTGGAAAAGTGCATCTTATAGAGTGAAAAATATGGTATCTGTATGCAGCATTACCTGAAAATTTTAAGAAAGCTGGAAAATTATTTTCTTTCTGCTTTCCGTATTTCATCAAACAAAACATTTCCAGCCATCTTCTACAAAGTATGGTTCAATGGAATAGCTACTGTCTACTCTCCCCAGGAATTATGAATTAGCAGGAAATAGGTCTGTTTTCACTCTGGGTGGCAAAAGTGTGCACATTGTGCAAGTCATAACATACAGCTTCTGTCACAAAACAGAAAGCTATTACATGCAACGTTCCCTCTAATTTTCAGTGCCACCAGGTGGGACTAAACTCACCCCATATGTGACTCTGCCCCCCCCCCATGGAGTTCTGTCATGACCAGAACCAAAGGAGCCGGAAATGATTGCTATGGATGCGTAGAGAAGGAACACTGTGCAGAAGAACATGGAGTTGCACTAAAGCACACAGCCGTGCACTGTAGAGGGAACCTTAATTACATGCTGTCCATTCACTCTTAGTAGTTGTTAACATTTCCAAGATGCATTCAATGTTGAATACATATTTGCTCTTCAGAATAACTCAGGAGAGTTAACAAATAAAGGGAAGTTTAGAGAATTCAAAGATCAACCATTACCTGCGTTTAGATCATCTGCTGGTAGACATAATTTATTTGCAACTTTTTCCGCTATCTTCTTCATTTCAGGACCTTTCTTGAAGGCATTGACCTCAAACATGGCTGTATTATTGTCTTCTACATCTTTTATAAATTTTTCACAGTAATCGAAAAATCTCATTAGTCTGTCCTTAATTTCAAATGTTTCTGTCAATGTTACTGAAACAAAAAAGGTGCAACATGGGTTAGTAGTTTACTCCATTAAGCAAACTTATGGTGTAGCTGGTTGTTCATAGGCAACACAGGTAACAGATAAGAGTAATGTAATATCCCATGTTAGCCTTTCCTGTTATGTACCTACAGTATCTTGTTGAGTTTTCTAAAATTTAACGTACAATCCTATCTTGTTTGGTAAGAAGCTAGCTTTAAAATAAAACATTGAATAATTAAAAGTAAACATGTTGCAATGTACAGTACACTTCAAAACTGAACCAGTGCTCTGTGGTGCAACATGGTCCAGTAATCTGTTCAATATTTATGTGTGCAGGGTTCCATCAGTGGAAATTGCCAACGTGATCTAGTCATGTGCTTGGTTGCATGATTGAGTAATGTGACTGGGTGCAAAGCTGGCACTGCATCAGATCACAGTTGGAACTCCGCATGTGTAAATGTTGAAGAGAATACTGGAGACTGAGTTATAGACTGCTGTTCTAAATAAAAGCAACTACTGTAAAAGCAATTACTGCCTTTTATGAGCAAGCATTTTATGCATTGTATGGCCATGCTTTCATTTCATAGTTACTGAAAAGGATGTTTCAGTACTCAGTAGTCAGCTCAGCAAGTAATAAATTGCCTTTTTATTTACCCAACATCCCCTGTTTCAGTACTGGAGTGTGCTAAATAAACAATTTGATTATTTTGCAAAATAAATTGCTTCTTGATCGTATTCTTTTCTAAATGCATATCTACTAAAAACATTTCATAGTTTCCTGTGTGGGGATCACAGGATCTCTCTTAGATTTTTTTTGCTTCATCTATTTTTCATTCACTCTGGTGAAGTGAAAAGTTGGAAACTTTCTGACTGTGAGCATTAAAAACACATTCAAGTGGGCTCAGTGTACTAAAACACTGCTAAATTAATAGAAGACAATTGAAACTGACTTGTTTGTAAGCAAACCATGTTGTCCTGTACAGTCCCCAAAACTGAACTGTTGAGGGATCTTAGATCATTGCCTTCTCTTTTTAAAAAGAGCCCTTCTGATCCCTGAGTTGTTAACTGAATGTCAGAAAGTTGTGTCATTACAGGAGAGTCAGCTTGATGGCAATTTGCTGGTTGGATGCACCTCTATTTGTGTTCCTGCATATCTATTGGTGTTTGCTGAAAAAACAGAATAGGCTTTGCTTAGTGGCTCTTTTGAAGATAATAAACTATCAACACAGCATTGTTTAACAGATTTCAGCAGCAAGCTTGGTCTAGAGTTTGTTCTCATTCATTCTCTCTTCACTACTGTATTTTCTTTCTCATAATAATAACAGACATGGTGTTGTGAACAATGAGTGTTATATGGGGAGATATGGTCCATCAGATAGCCTGGATTTATATGTCATAATCAATTTGAATTGGACTCATAAGTGGACCAGTAGCCACTGAAGCTGCTGCAACAGGGAGGTTATACTGTATACTCCTTGAAACCAGCCCCAGACAATAGTGTGGCTGCAGCATTTTGCACCAGTTTAAGTTTCCAAACTGTCTTCAAAGTGTTGCAGTAATACAAATGGACTGTAACTAAGGCATCTGTCACGGTAGCCAAATTGAATTAGGTGGAATGGGGAGAGAGAGTTGAGTAATATCCGCATATTGATGACACCAAACTCCAGAACCCCAGACCACCTCTCACAATGGATTCATGTAAATATTGGCCAAAATCCTGTTGCTTAGCATAGTAAATCATACCAAAGTAGGCCCTTTGAATCAAGGTAGATTTGGTGGCACAACTTTTCTGTATCATTCATTGAATAAATTGGGTCTACTCTAGTACAATGTACTACATTAAGTGACAGGATTTGGGCCATAACATTGGAGTTAGAACAGAACCCATGGGGATATTTCACTGGCCAATAGCACTACCTTTTGAGACTGCACTTCTAGGAAGGACTGGAGCCACAGTAAAACAGTGCCTCAAAGTCCCATCTCAGAGATATTATGCAGAAGGATACCATGGTCAATGATATTAAAAGCTGCTCAGAGGTCCAGCAGAACCAGTGGGGACACATTCCCCCTGTTTAGTTCCAGTGTAGGTTGTCCAACAAAGTGACAAAAGTTGTCCCTGTCCCATAACCAGGTCTGAAGCTGGACTGAAATGGATCCAGATAATTCATTCAGTAATTTCTGTAGTTGAATAACTAATGCCTGTTCTAAAACCTTGTCCAAAAACAGAATAATGGAGACCAACTGGTAATTATGGGGGCTAAAGGAGGGCTTTTTAAATAGAAGCTTTGCAATTGCCTTCTTTAAGCATGACCTTTCCTCATGACATCTTGTCCACCCTGCCAGTCCCCCTCTGGCAGTTTTTATAAACCAAGAAGGATAAAAATCCAGCATAAATTTGGTAGCTTTCGCTTCTCCAAGCACCCTCTCCACATCCTCATGCTGCACAGATTACAAAGTACCCATTATAGTAAGCAGGAGGCAAAGTTACATCCATAGAAACTGCATCAACTGGGGCACCCCAGTCAGAACAAATTGGAGTGGTTTTTGTTTGCAAAATGCTGCACAAATTCTTCACAGTGGGTTTCACAACTGACAAGGGTTGTCAGCAGCTAATCAGAACATCCAGGTGTGGCAGAGAGGGATGTGAAAGTTTTGTTTTACCTTTTAGCCTTATTTTATACTTTGTATATCTATTAACTGCCTGATAAATTTTGCATCCAGTAGTCTAATAAAGGCTACTGTCATGTGACCAACACATGCTGTCAGTATTTCATCAGAATGTCTAGAAGGGAAGAAGGGAAATGTCCAGCCAGATTATTGGATGAAAAAGTTATCAGGGAATATTGATATGCAAAGGGTGAACAACAGTTAAGGGATAAATAAAAGTTTGACATTATCCTCTCCCACCCTGGATGTTCTGACTGGCTGCTTTCAAGGTCTCTCGGCAGCCAACCAGGATGTCCAGGAGGAGGGGGGGAAGTGAATGCCAACCCTTTACCTGCACCTTAACTGTTTGTTTACCCTTTGTATGTCAATATTGCCTCATCAGTTTTTCATCCAATAGTGTGGTGGAGGCTAATGAAGAGACCTAGTAGTATTACCAATGAGTGTTGTCACCAGTCAGTCAGAACATCCAAGGAAAGGGAAGGGAAATGTTTGGCCAGGGTACTGAATGAAAAATATATAAGGGGATATTGACATGCAAAGAGTAAACAAGGGTTTAAAAGGTAAATAAAGAGTTGATGTTCCCATAACAAGGGCTGTCAGTAGCCAGTCATGATGACTAGGAGGGGGACATAATTTGATTTGTTTTTCTTTGACTTTTCACAGGGGCTAAGTACTAGGCCAAGGGACAATTAATCTCATTAGAAGAACATAAACCTGACTTTAAATTTTCACAAGAAACACAACAAGGAAATAAAATTAAGAACTTGTTAAATCATTGTCTCTTTGAGCAGCAGGAAGCACTAAAGCCAGGGGAACTGCAATTCTGATTAGGAGCTTGCTATCTTTTACTGAGGAGTCTGTAAATAATTACCCCAATGGTAGATATGCCTGTGTAACAGATGCTATTGATCATCAGTACTATACCATAATTTCTATTTACTCCACTAACTCTGGACAGCACACTTTGCAATAGCCCTTACCAAAATATTGGAAGCAAAAATCAGGCAACAGTTCACATAGGAAGGGTAAACAAAGATTAAAAGATGAAACAAAATGTGCAAGACAGAGTAGGAAATGAAAGAATTTCAAAATTCCTGTTCCTCTCCTTCATCAGTAAGAATTGTTCATGCTTTTAGATCCTATCTTTTGGGAGTTAATAAAATAACATAAAAATGAAATAAGAGCCTCTTTCCTTTTTTTAAAAAAAAATTCGTTCATATTAACATGAAAGTCCTGTCCTTAATTATTTGCTTCCCTGGAGAAAGTCTTTTATGTATCTAAATCATTAGGAGCTTTTTGGGCATCAGAGAATTGTAGCTGTGGCTCTCTGATGCCTAACCATTGTGACATGTGAAAGGAAAGAATAAATGATCCAATGCACATGAAACCTATATGTCCAAGAAGTAAATACGTCAATCAATGACCTTCTCACCCAATTAAGGTACAATGAGGGCACAGTACAACACTTTTAAGCAAACCCATAGCAGTGAGCAATCTCTAGTTACTGTATGATAAAATAATATTAAAAAGAGAGGTTACCTACCTGTCTGTAACCATAGTTCTTCTAGGGGTCCTCTGTGAATCCACACAAATGGGTTCTTCTGCACCTGCACTGAACATCTTGGAAGATTCTAGAGCTTAAAGTTACAAAGTTAGTGGGATGTTCCCCCAAGATTCCCCTCAGTTCCTGAAATTTGTCCACTGGGCAGAAGAATAATTTAATATAACCCATTACGGGTCAAGGGGAGCATGGGTGGAATGTGTGAATTCACAGAGGACCACTAGAAGAACTATGATTACAGATAGATAACCTCTTTTTCTTGTTCGTGGTCTCTGTGAATGCACACAAATGGGTGACTGGCAAGCTTCACTTACCGGATGGTGGGACGTCACGGTAGAAAAGATGCCAAAACAGTTCTGCCAAATCCAGCATCATTGCGTGCTCTCACATCCAGGCGGTAGTGCCTGACAAAGGTCGATGGAGTAGACCATGTTGCAGCACGGCAGATGTTAGGTATTTCGATTCCACGCTGGAAGGCAATGAATGTTGACAGCGCTCTAGTGTAATGTACAGTCAAATGATCAGGAGGTGGTTTGCCTGATAGTTCATATGCCAAAGAGATGGTTTGGATGATCCATCTGGAAATGGATTGTGATGAGGCTGGGCCTCCTTTGTGAGGTCCATGGAAACACAGGAAAAGTCTGTTAGTTTTCCTGAAATCTTTAGTTCTGTCAATATAAAATTCAAGAGAGTGTCTTACGTCTAGCATGTGGAGCATGCGCTCTAGAGGAGTTGGTAGTGATGGAAAGAAGGATGGCAATATGTTGGTCAAAAACAGACTAACTCACAGGGGAACGTAAATTACTTGATTGAAAAATAAGAAGGTAGCAATTTGGTTCTGATTAGAAGAGCAAGTAATGAATAATTGCTAATAATTTGCTCAAAATCGCTCTATTCTTCCGAAAGTCCGATCAGCTCGGCGGAAAAAAGGAACTGAGGGGAATCTTGGGTGGGCGGAGCATGTGCTCCATGTGGGAATTTCCTGCTAACTTTGTAACTTTAAGCTCTAGAATCTTCCAAGACATTCAGTGTAGGCGCAGAAAAACCCATTTGTGTCAATTCACAGAGACAACGAAGAAACACTGAATAAGTACTGTGTAGCATCTCTGAAGCCATGTTGCTGATTTTGGGGATGGTTGAGGGTGGGCTGCACTGTTGATTTAAAAAATAAAAATAAAAAATAAAATTGGAGAAGGTAAGGGCACTTGGTGCTTTCCTTCAAGCCAAAATGAATGAGCTGTAGATTGTTGTTTACCTTCATCTCTCCCTCCCTCTTGACTACATAGAAAGGCGCTTCCTTCCAATTAAGTATTAAATTGGTGCCTTGGTGTTTAATAGGTTTGAGGGCTGTGTAGCCTTTCAGAAATTACTGGACTGCAACTCCCATGGACCCCTGTAACATCGCCAGCGGCGGGGGTTGCTGGGAGTTGTAATCTGGGATCATCTGGTTGCAACCGTTTCTCTTAGCCCAGTCTTTCCTTTCGGACTTTGTCTGATAAGGAAAGCAAATCAGGGAAGGGAGCTACGTTTTCACCATTTGTTTTGGCCGTGGAGTGGTGCCCGTGGAGAGCCCGTCGGAGTCCTTTCCGGAAGGCAGTGCTACTATCGATGCACCGCTGTTTAGAGCTGCTAACAAAAGCGAAGCGGCTTTTCGGCTCTACGAGGCGGGGGAAGCGGGCGGCGAGGCGCCCGGCCAGCATCTCCATGTCGTAGTGCCCACGGGCCGCCAGCATCCCATCCGTGTCGGGACGGAACCACATATTCCAGCGCGACAAGCGCTCGACAGCCGGGCAGGTCGGGCTGCTGCTGTTCCTCTGGAGGACGAGGCTGTGGAGGCGGCCCAGCTTCTCCCTCTGCTCCCTCGTGGGGTCGCGGGTGCCGTGGCGGAAGACGCCGATGAGCTTAAGAGGCGTACAGGAGGCCGGCGGCAGCGGAAAGCCCGGCTGCGGGGGCCCGAGGGACAGCGGGTCCTCCAGCAGGTGCGGGTGGAGCTCTTCATAGCGGGATTTGGTGCCGAAATAGGGGCTCAGCTGCTCTGCCGCCTCGGCATTCCCCTCAGCGAGTCCCTCCGCTAAGACGAGGAGGACCGATAAGAAGAGCCATTCCGCCCTGGAGTGACAATGGCGCTGCCCGCAGGGCAACATGAGGGCGGCTGGGAGGAGGCCGCCGCCAACCGTACACGAACCGCCGGGCTGCGTTTCTGGCAGAGCAACGAGACCGCGCGGCCGAGGCTCGAAAAATTGGCACTAGCCCCAACTCCTTTTAAAGTGTTCCCTGGATTGGGCGAGGGCGAAGACCGCCTACGCTTTACTCGCGCCTGCCCCCCTCCCGCCTTATCCAAAATGGATGTCTATCCTCATGGCTTCGCTTGTCTCTGGTGGAACCCCCGAGGACTTCGCGTGGTTCCTCCCACTCTCGGTTTTCACCACAAACCTTTGAAAATGTCGGTAACTGAGGAGAAGCTTGGTTGGCAGAAGCTTTGGCTTCCACAGAAGCCGGGTTTGGGTTGGGCGGGAGAGGGTCCACACCTTTGTGGCTGATGGCGAGGGAGAATGCGCGACAAAAATATCAAAAGCAAGAGAACGGCTGAACCTACTTTTTGTAATATGTTGCCTGAGAAAGAGACCCGGCTGTCTCGAAAGCTTGCACACATTTTTGTACCCCGCAAAATGAGGTTGGTGAAAAAAGTGCACTAATACTGATTTTAGAAATTGCCGTGTTCCCCACAGGGCCCGATACACAGCTCCTATACATATCCTTCATCTCTGGCTGTTTCCTCCTCCCCTCATAATCACTCAAATTTTTGGAAACTGAGATTATTAGTATATTAAATCATGCATAATAAACCTCAAACAAAACACACTTCTATTTCGCAGAGATCTTTACATTATTGGGTTATTTACAGCATGGCTTTCAGGATAAAATAAAACAGGAGTTTATGTTCTTGGTAATCAGTGTTATTTCCATCAGGAAAATACTGCTGAAAAACAGCAGGTAGGCAGCCACTGTATAAATAAAACTGATACCAAAAAGTGAGATGTGTTAGAGGAACTTGAGAAAAATAATTAAGAACCAGAAGACATTTAATTATTTACTTGCATTAATCCCCTGACATTCAGATCCATTTGGAATTGACCAGAACAGAAGATATCCCAACTAACTGTAGTCAACAGTTGGACCTAGCTGCACAAGTTAATCACAGAATTCATGTCCTAGTTCTGCTGACATGGCATAAAACAGGTGACTAATCTTGCTAAGTCCAGACTTCCTCTGTTTTTAATAAAGTTCTTCCTCTGGTTGCCTTGCCACATGTTCAAATAATTCAGCAGGCTGAAAAGTAGCTATACAAAGGACAAATTAGAAGAACAACAATGCCAAGAGTTAATTATTCTGCACTTGATGTACCTATTGCAAGTATTCCTGCATCAACCACACCCTTTGCCTTGTATTTCCCAGGAAAACAAGAACAGCATTTAGGGACTGCCTGCAGACTTCCTCTGTTCTGTACTTTGAAGTCTGTAATAGTTCATTATCAGTACATTCTTAAATGTGCTGACACAGAAGCACTCCAAGTAAAGAATAGAAAAATAGAATTTGTATAACTAGACCAGTGTTTTACCATATTATTTATATAAAATAATACTTTTTGGCAAATAATGTCTATTCTCAGCTGCCTGGGAATGCGTTATGGATTCCCAGTTTACCATAAAGAGTCTCTATTTTGTGGTCCCTCTCCAATTAGGATACCGTTGTCGATGGTATCAAAGGTGGCTGAGATGTCAAGGAGAACCAACAAGGACATTTTGCCCCTGTCGGCCTCCCTCAATAGGTCATCCAGCAGGGCAACCAATGCCGTTTCTGTGCCGTGGCACAGCCTGAAGCCCGACTGGAATGGATCCGTTGGTTTCATCCAAAAGGGCCTGAAGCTGATCGGCTGCCACCCTCTCTACTACCTTGCTAAGGAAAGAAACATTGACAACGGGCCTATAACTGCCAATGTTGTCCAGTGCCAAGCTCATTTTCTTCCCAATGGGCCTATTGAGCATCTTCTTGAGGGCAAGGAGAGACCCATTATTTATTGCAGTGGCCCATTCAGTGGCTCATATGTTTCAATCAAGCCTTACAGGTCATGTGGTTCAATCAAGCCCTATATAATATACCACTATCAAAACAACAAATACAAACCTGTGAGGAGCAGGTTAGGAAGAAAATGCTATCTTAAACATATGCTTAATTTCAGCAGAAGTTACAGATCCATTGAGACAAGACTGAAAAGCAATGAGCTGTAATTCACACCCATTGGCAGAACCTTTTACCTAGAAAAATAATACTGAGGTTGCCAAATAAGCAGAGAACCAGTTCACAGTTAGTAATCGGACTGCTGTTATTAAGTAGGACAGGAAGAGGTTACTAAGCACTGCAATCATCCCTCCCTGACATTTTATTATGAATGGATAATTTACACACATGGTGGATAATAAGCATGGAAAAGCAAAACACCACTGTTCAAAAATAAACTAGAGAAGTGGGCTGAAATTTGGTTAACACTCCAAGTGGGCAGGTTCAATAAAGAGATGTAATGGGAAGCATAGAAGTGTGCATACTTATTTTATTAATTATATTTATACCCCACCTTTCCATTAAAATAGTGTGTAAAGCAATTTACATTTAACATATTAAAACAGGTATAATCACATTTAACTAAAAATAATGAAATAAGATAAACCAGCTTCACTATAACTACCATTAAAATCAAGAAAATATATTAAAACTCATTAAAATCAGCAAAAGATACAGATTAAAAACAACACAGCAGGGCTAGTTAGATATCATATGCCAGTCTAAAAAGATTTTTTTTACTTCTTTGTTAAAATCAGAGTAGAGACAGATTACATACGTATTAGAAAGGACTGCATCTCATAGTTTCGGAGCAACAGTGCCCTTCTATTGTACATTCTTATTAAACAGGCTTCTAAAACTTGATAATTTTAAGAGTGACTCTCATAATGATCTTAACATCTGGACAGGCTCATAATAAGACAGGCAATCTCTTAGATAGCTAAGTTGCAAGGTGCTGAATTGGACCTGGTAAGCAACACACAACCAGTGCGGTTCTTTAAGTGCTAGGGTCATATAATTATGATATTGTGCATCACTTAGCAACCTGGTCGCCATGTTTTGCACACACTGAAGATGCTGGACTCTCTTAAAGAAGAGCCCTGTGTAGAGTGCATCACAATAGCCATTGTTTGGCAGACAGCCTTATTTTGAAAGGGGTGACCAAATTGGTTTGCTAGACCAAAACCAGAAGTCCTAGTGCATCCTAAAACTTCCAAAATTATAACAGTGGATGATAGTTCATGAAAACGTATGTTCATCTAATACATTTTTTGTATGTAAGTTGCTCCAGGATTCTTGACTGTCTTACATGCTTTCACACTACACACAGCAAGATGGATATCAAGTCAATCATCCTCAGAAGACTGCCACTTGCCAGGACTGTGGCTACCTTCTCAGGTCATTGGCAGAAGTTCTGTCTTACCACTTATTAAAATTAGTTTGGGGTATGCAGGGCAGGACTGCCTCCATTGTAGTCCCCAGGATCAACTGACGAGCCACTTCATTGAAGCATTTATTCAAGTAGTTTTATTTCTCTGTACTTTTAGCCTCAGGATTTGATTTTTATGCTTCTGTCCACAGTTAATTTTTTAAAAATTCTGCTGTGTTGTTCACGAAATTGTTGTTAGCTATCTTAGAGATCCTGTTATTGGGAAATAAATTATTTAAATAAATACACATACTGTATATATGTCACAGTGCCTTGCTGATTTATTTCCTTCATTCTTTCCATAGCTGTGTACTTTCTTATATCCTTCCTTTTTGCTTAAAAAACTCTTGATCTCAGTAGGTCAAGAACTAAGAGAAGGATAATAAAGAGAATATTAGGTTCTCCATAGAATAAAACAGATAACTTTAAAAGAGAGAGAGAGAGAGGTCTGCTGTGTCACATTCAAAAGATTACAAAATTCTCTGTGGGGAAATCAAAACTTCCCACAATTCTCCACCTGGATTGGCTACCGTATTAACATATGATAAGCCCAGAGGGCTAGTGTCACCCGGAAACTGGACTATAGGAAGAAGAACTGGTTCAGGGAGGCAACTTCCTATTGCCAGCACAGAGAATGTTTTGACTTACAACTCCTATCTAGCATGGCCAATGGTAAGAGACTGTAATCCATTGTAAACCAAAACATCTGGAGACCCAAAAGTTTACATCCCCACATCCTATGCAACGTGCCTGTATCAAGTACATTTTTTTTACAGTTGCCTTTTCATAGCTTTACTCAGACACAAGCTAGTCAGATAGTAAGACAACTGTCCTTTTAAATAGCATGTAAGGAACAGCATACCACATGACAGGAAGAGGCATTCCCAAATATGTGGCTTTTGTGTACTCACAATAAAAGTGCGACATTAGCAAAGTGAAGCCAACAATTCCAGAACAAATGAAATTTGATCATCTGTGTCAGTTCATGTGGCTCTGAGTTATATCTCTTTCCCTTTCAGGCCCTGTTGTTCAGTAATCTTTGTATTTATAAAACAGTGATCACATTTCTGTTCCTGTTGCTCTAAAAAGAGGACAGATAGAAGCAGATCGGAGCACAAATGTTTTTGAAAATTGTCCTGCCATTCTGAGCTTTGGAGTGTTACAATTCCTAGAAACTATCTAATAGTAACAAAATTAATATGCAAGTTAACCTACTAATAGACTCTATTAGAAGATTAACTTGCATATTAATTTTGTTGCTACATTTAAACCCTGCCTTTCCTGTAAGCCAAAGGAAATTTAGTATACCATCTTTTTAATTTTCACAACAGCCTTGTGAGCTAGGCTGGGTGGAGTAGAGTGGAGAGAATGTGGCTGCAACCAGTTTTGTGAAATTCATATCTAAATGAGGATTTGAAACTAGGTCTTCTGAGCCCACAACAAATTAACTATGGTGGCTGGAACATAAATAGATTGCAAAGATCTCCAAAAGGATATTTTCAGACTGAGAAAAGAATGACAAATCATATTCAGTGTTGTTGTTTCTATGTACAGTCAAGTCACCCCGACTTATAGTGACCCCATGAAAGAGTGATCTCCAAAATGTCTAATTCTCAACTGCCCTGCTAAGCTCTTGCAAACGCGGGCCTGTGGCTTCCTTTAGGGAGTCAATCCATTTAATATTTGGACTTCCTCTTTTCCTGCTGCCTTCAGTCTTTTCCAGTATTATTGTCTTTTCCAGAGAATCCTGCCTTTTCATTATGTGCCCAAAACAGGACAACCTCACACTTGATGATCTTTTCTAATTCTTTCATTGCTGCCCTTTCTAGTCTCAGTTTTCTTCTGATTTCTTGGCTGCAGTTTCAATTTGGATTGATGATTAATTCAAGCATACAAGGTATACAAAATCTCTATTTCAATTTATTTATTTAAAATATTTTTACCGCACCTTTCTCTTCAAAAAGCCCAAGACAACTTATATAACTGAAAGATAATATTTAAAGCTAAAAACAGTAAATATACAGTTAAGTATACAAATACTAGAAAAAGTCAAATACCACACTACAACACAGTAAACAAAAACAACACCCAAAACACATCCAAAGTAGGGCACAACAATTTCTTTATAGTGAACATTAAAGATGTGTAGTTCTTCTGTAGTTATGTTTTTGTCTTCTTAATGTTCAACTACAGTCCTGCTTTGATGTATATTGGGACCAAAAAAAAATGTCCCAGCCAGTCTCTTATATATGCTAATAAGATTGGAACTGTAACGAACTACTGAGAAAGATATTGGACCTGTGGTGAATAGTTCAGTAAAATGTTGACCAAGGATGCTATTATGGCCAGAAAAGAATATTCCCTGTTGGGTACAATTATAAAAGGATCTAAACTAAAACTACCAATATACTGCTTTTACAGAAATCTACAGTATGCGTATACAGTACTTGAAAAAGAAGCAGGCTGTCTTGGCACCTCTGATACAATTTTCAAGCTTACTGAGAAACTACTTAATTGAAAACTGGGAATTCCTCAGTTTCATTATGGGCTGTGTAAAGAAGTACTTTTATCTATCTTGTCTCTTCCACCATTCAGCTTCAGTGGCAGGTGAATTTCCCAAATTCTGGTACTGCAAGAGATGAATAAACTGTTCTTTCTCCACAAGAGAGACAATTTTGTATATCTCTCTCCTTATTCCTGCCCCCCATTAAACAGTTTAAAATTTATTTCTTTTCTCATAGGGGAGTTGCTCCAATCTCTTGACCATGTTACATTGCCTTTTTCTATTCTACAATATTATTGTTCAGGGATAGTAGTGATTCATAAGATTCTAAGAAAAGAACATCAGACCAATCAATAATTTTAAGAGTTAGGACAAATAGTTGATCTGACAAATTTGAATTTCAAAAAAGAATATTTCACTGCTCTGATATTCTTACTATTCAAAATGTTATTAAATTATTCACTTGATAACATTATTAATCTATTCCCAAATAGAAAATATTATTATCTTTTCATTTATTATCAAATAGTTTGATAACTACATAAGCCATTGCAAAAAGCAGTTTTATCACTAGTCAACTGAACACAAGTAAGATTTCTCCAAGTGCCTTTCATTTATACAATGACTTAATCTGGGGACAATCATAAAGCTGGTATAGTGATGTGCTATTGTGCAAGTCACAACCACTAAATGTGAGATGTTGTTGCTTTCGCTGCAATAAACACCTGTAATAAAGTTCTATTTTAGTCCCACATG